AGGCACACTGCGGGGGAGATTGGGTTGATATTATTCACTTCCGTTTTGCCCCTGCATAATTTTGCCGGGGGTTTACTATAAATTGTATGCGCACGTGTTCATCGATCTTTTCAACATCGTGTTCACCGACTACAGTAGTCCTGTTCACAACTGGTAAAATTCATTTTGTTAACCCACCTCCTCCCCAGACCTATACCTCTTTATACAAATCCGATGAAAAAGTGTTTTATCTTCATGTTTGAAGATCACATTCTAAGTGTCAACTTGGTTCCTATTGAACTCTGCGATCATCTATGGTTACAACACCTCATGTAATATTTTATCTTCATATGCGAAGTAATTATTCTATCTAGTTGTATGTTAGTAACTGTTGAACTCTAGAGTCATCTACGTGTGCAGGCGTATATTTTGCCCTGCACCTTTACTGGGCTTAAGTTGTCAATGATTTTATATTTGATAATTGTGTGATATTTTATAAAAGATTATTAAACGGCTATGGGCCACTTATGCCCATAGCCAATTTATCCCAAAACAGGTGTTTATTAATATGTACAACTCTTTCCCAGTAAAGGGAGCTCTGGCACGACAGCAATTTGGGGGTTTTTCGTAATAGAGGTGAGACATAAAGAACATATTTGCAAGCGAATAGGAATTTTATGTCTCATCTTCTATGTTGTTTGTTTCGTAGTTATCAGGCACACTGCGGGGGAGATTGGGTTGATATTATTCACTTCCGTTTTGCCCCTGCATAATTTTGCCGGGGGTTTACTATAAATTGTATGCGCACGTGTTCATCGATCTTTTCAACATCGTGTTCACCGACTACAGTAGTCCTGTTCACAACTGGTAAAATTCATTTTGTTAACCCACCTCCTCCCCAGACCTATACCTCTTTATACAAATCCGATGAAAAAGTGTTTTATCTTCATGTTTGAAGATCACATTCTAAGTGTCAACTTGGTTCCTATTGAACTCTGCGATCATCTATGGTTACAACACCTCATGTAATATTTTATCTTCATATGCGAAGTAATTATTCTATCTAGTTGTATGTTAGTAACTGTTGAACTCTAGAGTCATCTACGTGTGCAGGCGTATATTTTGCCCTGCACCTTTACTGGGCTTAAGTTGTCAATGATTTTATATTTGATAATTGTGTGATATTTTATAAAAGATTATTAAACGGCTATGGGCCACTTATGCCCATAGCCAATTTATCCCAAAACAGGTGTTTATTAATATGTACAACTCCTTCCCAGTAAACGGAGATCAGGCACGACAGCAATTTTGGGGTTTTTCGTAATAGAGGTGAGGCATAAACATACATTTCGCCGAACATTACTTCGGCCTCTTGAGACGTACGCTTATTGTGATAGTCTTGTTCGATTAAGCATTCAAAATGCCATATGCAGTGTTATTTCAAGCTTCTATTCTATAAATTATGCTCTTTTATTGCCGAATTTACATGTCTGGTACGAGTTTGTGATAATCCGAACCGGAAATACGACTAAAAATGTCAAAACAAGCGAAGTTTGTATCGCGTGACCCCTGCAAATGCCAGAAATGGATTCTACAGATCAAAGTGCACCTATACCGGCGTCGGTTTGATCTCATCGCGGCTAAATGAGTTCCTTATTAGACACCTTAAGATAAACGTTTACGGCACTGAAACGCCAAAACCACTAGCAAAGTTTTTGATATTTCAATCTAATACTATCTATTATAATATCTTTTATGCCAGTTTTGAAATATATTAAACAATTATTAAACGTGTGGTATTTAGTGATGTTTTAAATTGGGCAAGCAAATTAACCACTAGTCATGTATTCACCAAAGCAGTAAATTAAGATTTGGCGTTTGAAGTTGACGTTGTATAAATTTAATACTTAAACTGCTTGGAGGGCTTGTAGTGGTTAAACAATGAAAATAGAGACATTTAGATATTCGTTTTTTGTTTGAAACGTCAAATCGCAAACGTCAAGAGACCACGTGACTACATCCCAGAGATTGCGTTTGCCGTATATACAGAGAAGCTTTTTCACGTAAGTCATTTCCCTCAAGCTTTATATATCTATTTCGTCGAATTATCTCGTGTAATTATAGTCTATTTTTGTTGGTATACGCGTTTAGTCTTCAAATATAAATAATGATTGAGGTCGATTAATTGTTTTAAGCATGTTGATTTCTCAAATTTGAAGTGGTCACTGGAATAGCATGTATTCAAAATGCCTGCGATATTTTGACAACTTATATATTAAAGTTGTATTGCATTTTATCAATAATAATGCGAAGATATTCAGTTAGCCACTAAAAGTGTAGGAATAGCTTAACTATCGTTTAAGAATCTTGTTCTTTGAAAGGTCTAAAAACTAAATGCGAACGACGTGTTGTACGGCAAACCACTTACCGCAAATGGCTACCCGCGGTTCGTCGTTTGACGTCTAAGCCGGAAATCTAAAGGTCTCTAATTTATACACCAAACGTTAACTTCAAACGCCAAATCTTAATTAACTGCTATGGTGAATACATGACTAGTGGTTATTATATATATATATATATATATATATATATATATATATATATATATATATATATATATATATATATATATATATATATATATATATAAA